TAATTCAATCACCCGTCGTTGTTGTTAGGTAGTCCCTCCAACCAATCATGTTGCGTAGGCCCCTCCCACTGTTGACCAATAGCTACCAATTTTCAGCTGCTGGTGAGGTAAGCGTGTGATCCCTCATAACCTAGGCGATCATAAATCAGGCAGCGCAGCACAAGAACTACACACCTTGCTTGTGGGCTGACACACCGGCCGCTCAGGCTTCGGCCCACATCAAGCAGTGACCTTCGTAATGATAATAATGATTACAACGGCCGCGGCTGGCGGTCTCTTTCTCCCTCTCGCCTTATCTCTCTCTCTCTCTCTCTCTCTCTCTCTCTCTCTCTCTCTCTCTCTCTCTCTCTCTCTCTCTCTCTCTCCCTCCCTCCCTCTCAATCTCTCCCTCCTCTCTCTCTCTCCCTCTCCCTCCCTCCCCTCTCAATCTCTCCCTCCTCTCTCTCTCTCCCTCTCCTTCTCTCTCTCTCTCTCTCTCTCTCTCTCTCTCTCTCTCTCTCTCTCTCTCTCTCTCTCTCTCTCTCTCTCTCCCTCTCAATCTCTCCCCCCCTCTCTCTCCCCCCCCTCTCTCTCTCTCTCTCTCTCTCTCTCTCTCTCTTTCTCTCTCTCTCTCTCTCTTTCTCTCTCTCTCTCTCCCTCCTCTCTCTCTCTCTCTCTCTCTCTCTCTCTCTCTCTCTCTCTCTCTCTCTCTCCCTCTCAATCTCTCCCCCCCTCTCTCTCCCCTCTCTCTCTCTCTCTCTCTCTCTCTCTCTCTCTCTCTCTCTCTCTCTCTCTCTCTCTCTCTCTCTCTCTCAATGGTTTAGCTTCCCTGTGTTTGTGTTCAAACTAACGGACATGTAAAGAATTATTCTAGACAGACAAAAACGATGGAAAGACAGAAAGTTGACTTGAGTTGAGTTAGAGTTTTACGGCACTTTAAAAACAATAAGGTCATTTCAGCGCCAGGGGGAAATTGATTCACAAGAGAGTGAAGAAATGAGTACAAAAGAACGACAGCAGGGTCAGAAAGAAGGAGCAAACCATATCAGAGCACCCGCCGACCACCCACGCCGACAGACAAACATGGGCATCACATCCAAAGACACATACACACAGAGAAAACGGTTGGATAGACAGACAGACGGATTAAAGCAACAGGGTTTCTAGTAATCAGAAAGAGACAAATTGACAGATAATGACACACATGACATGTTTCCCTTATCTGTTTCTATGCTGATGTTGATGACAGTTTTGCAACCTTTCGACGCTGCTGTGAACTTTCCTCATCATTAAGGTTGCAGCAATATCGCTTCATAAGAATGTTGGTCATCCTTTTGAAAGCTTGTAGCGAAATTTCCAACTCCAGTTGAAATAATCCTGGGAAGTCAGTTAGACTCTAATGAGTTTGTTTCTGCACCGTGGCTCGGTTGTCTTTCTAAGATAATGGTAGGCCAGAGTAGTCAGTGTGAACAGTTTGTCCGATGGATAGGTCAGACCACCACGGTTGATTTCCTCAAGATATGCTCTGACATCTGGTGTACTGTCTGAGGGGTTGCCAGCAAGCTCACGGTGTTTGAAAGCAATGTAGCCAGCAATGTGAAAAATCGCCAGCTTTTCATCAGCAGTCACTGAGATGTTTCCCTCTACCATATCGTCAATGAGTAGCAGGTCACTGTCTGCAAGGTCCTTCTCACACAGGTCACAGTCATGATGACTGATACTATAGTCCAGTGCAACCTCTGTCTTAAGCAAAATCCTTGCTTTATCAATGGTATGTGTGTGCATCACTTCCTAGACTGTCA